TGAGCCAATACTTTCATGACATCGTTCTCGCCCTATTGTCGCCGCTGGGTCCCCAGAGGCCTTCTCGAGGCCTTCATATGTGATTCTGATCCCGGATCGATCAATCGACCGATCGACGACGACGATCAACCGATCATGGATCCTGGATCGATTGATCGGCGTTGACGACGACTATCGATCATCCACAAAACCCTCGATCCTGGGGGAACGATGCCACTACTTGGGGAAGAAAAAACGGCATAAACATCAATAGTCGACGGGTTGTGCGGATTTCTTGGATGCGAGCTGGACCCCCATACCTGGCGAGCGGAGCGCGCCAGGGGCGGCGCTGGAGGCGCCGCAAGAGGGGCCCAGTGCAGACCCGGGAAATCCGCGCCGAGCGTCGACAGTTTATGTGTATGCAGTTGTTCTTCCCCTAGTAGTGGCATCGTTCCCCCAGGATCGAGGGTGTTTCGGATGATCGATACAGTAGGGGCCCGACCCAACCATGAGACCCCGGGACGTCCGTCGGTTTTTGGTGTGGGAACGCCACGCCTTCCACAGCAAAGCCATCGAAACCCAGGGCACCCCGGAGGCGAGCAGGGTGTTTCTTGGCATGGGTTTCAACTGTAGTCGCGAATGAGGGGGCCCTGGGACACACAGATAAACAGACACAAACAACAGGATTCCCCATATTTTCCCATAGTTTCTGGGTTTTTGTCTTCCCCCCCACTTCCCACATTTTCCTATATTTTCATGGGGATCGACAATTGAATGTGTCTGTGTGTTGTGTTCCCTCCTGACTCAAGGGCTCTCTCGCAGAGCGCTCGGACCAGAAATAACTCCACGGTGTAGCTGGCCGTGCCGACGGGGGCTGTCGAGCACGAGCAGCGGCATCGCCGATCATCTGAGCAGGGACCGACCGTCCCGGCATTCCTATAGTCCTACCACGAAATGTTCTTAGAAACCAAACATGTTCTAAGAACAAAAACAATGTTCTTGGAACATAAACCCGAGGTGATAAAACAAGACAGACTCCGCAAGAAAACTTCTAAGAACATTGCGCGGGAACCACAACAAGTTCTTAGGACATTGTTTGGTAGGGCTATAGGCACGCCGGGACGCTTCGCCACTGCTTGATCTTCCAAATCTGAGATCTACGCATCGATTGAGCGACGACGACGGCGGCGGCGACGGCGACGACGAAGACCACCGCCACGACGACGGCGACGGCGACCCTGGGGAAACCAAAAGGTACCGATACCTCTACTCCCAGGGACCTCTCCCAGGGAACGTTCTGGCCAGGATTTCGGAGCGCATTCAACGGTGGCCACGAGAGCCTCCGAGGAGGCCGAAAAGACGAAACCGGGCAAAGGGTAGCGTTAGGTCGGGCATGTCCCCTTGCAGGCAGATTCTGGACGAAAGATAAAAATATTCCAACGAAGCAATTCCAAACACATGCCAATACAGTCAACATATAGACGACAAATAATCCCCAGACTATTTTGTTTTACTATGTTTGGAAATTCCTCCTGTAGAAGGGACAGGCCCCACTCAAGGGCAGCGGCATCGGTACCTCTTCTTTTCCTCTCGGGCGTTGGCAGAATTGGGTTAAAGGGACATGATTTAGTGACTTGTACTGGGGGACGCCCCCGTCGCCAGCTCCACTTACCGGAACTGCCGTCACCCGAACAAACACCAACTACGGCAAACCTGGTTCAGTGATCCTGGCCGCAATTTAGGGGCTCCAGGGCCCCACTACTAACCGAGTCCCCTCACCTGGGGTCCTGGCTGTATTGAGCAGGGACCGACCGTCCCGGCATTCCTATAGTCCTACCACGTAATGTTCTTAGAACCCAAATATGTTCTAAGAACAAAAACAGTGTTCTTGGAACATAAACCCGAGGTGATAAAACAAGACAGACTCCGCAAGAAAACTTCTAAGAACATTGCGCGGGAACCACAACAAGTTCTGAGAACATTGTTTGGTAGGGCTATAGGCACGCCGGGAAGCTTCGCCACTGCTTGATCTTCCACATCTGAGATCTACGCATCGATTGAGCGACGACGACGGCGGCGGCGGCGGCGACGACGACGACGACCACCACGACGACGGCGACGGCGACCCTGGGGAAACCAAAAGATACCGATACCTCTACTCCCAGGGACCTCTCCCAGGGAACGTTCTGGCCAGGATTTCGGAGCGCATTCAACGGTGGCCACGAGAGCCTCCGAGGAGGCCGAAAAAGACGAAACCGGGCAAAGGGTAGCGTTAGGTCGGGCATGTCCTCTTGCAGGCAGATTCTGGACGAAAGATAAAAAGATTCCAAAACAATTCCAAACATATCCCAAAACAGTCAACATATATTCGACAAATAATCCCCAGACTATTTTGTTTTACTATGTTTGGAAATTCCTCCTGTAGAAGGGGCAGGCCCCACTCAAGGGCAGCGGAATCGGTACCTCTTCTTCTCCTCAGGGGCGTTGGCAGAACTGGGTTTAAAGGGACATGGTTTAGTGATTTGTATTGGGGGACGCCCCCGTCGCCAATTCCACTAACGGGAAATGCCGTCACCCGAACAAACACCAACTACGGCAAACCTGGTTCAGTGATCCTGGCCGCAATTTAGGGGCTCCAGGGCCCCACTACTAACCGAGTCCCCTCACCTGGGGTCCTGGCTGTATTGAGCAGGGACCGACCGTCCCGGCATTCCTATAGTCTTACCACGAAATGTTCGTAGATAAAGAAAAATTTCTAAGAACGAAAACAATGTTCTTGGACCATAAACCCGATGTGATAAAACAAGACAGACTCCGCCAGACAAGTTCTAAGAACATTGCGTGGGAACCACAACAGGTTCTTAGAACATTGTTTGGTAGGACTATAGGCACGCCGGGACGCTTCGCCACTGCTTGATCTTCCACATCTGAGATCTACGCATCGATTGAGCGACGACGACGGCGGCGGCGACGGCGGCGACGACGACGACCACCACGACGACGGCGACGGCGACGGCGACGGCGACCCTGGGGAAACCAAAAGGTACCGATACCTCTACTCCCAGGGACCTCTCCCAGGGTGCATTCTGGCCAGGATTTCGGAGCGCATTCAACGGTGGCCACGAGAGCCTCCGAGGAGGCAGAAAAGACGAAACCGGGCAAAGGGTAGCGTTAGGTCGGGCATGTCCCCTTGCAGGCAGATTCTGGACGAAAGATAAAAATATTCCAACGAAACAATTCCAAACACATGCCAATACAGTCAACATATAGACGACAAATAATCCCCAGACTATTTTGTTTTACTATGTTTGAAAATTCCTCCTGTAGAAGGGACAGGCCCCACTCAAGGGCAGCGGCATCGGTACCTCTTCTTTTCCTCTCGGGCGTTGGTAGAATTGGGTTAAAGGGACATGATTTAGTGACTTGTACTGGGGGACGCCCCCATCGCCAGCTCCACTTACCGGAGCTGCCGTCACCCGAACAAACACCAACTACGGCAAACCTGGTTCAGTGATCCTGGCCGCAATTTAGGGGCTCCAGGGCCCCACTACTAACCGGGTCCCCTCACCTGGGGTCCTGGCTGTATTGAGCAGGGACCGACCGTCCCGGCATTCCTATAATCCTACCACGAAATGTTCTTAGAACACAAATGTTCTAATAACAAAAACCGTGTTCTGGGATCATAAACCCGATGTGATAAAACAAGACAGACTCCGCCAGACAAGTTCTAAGAACATTGCGTGGGAACCACAACAGGTTCTTAGAACATTGTTTGGTAGGGCTATAGGCACGCCAGGACGCTTCGCCACTGCTTGATCTTCCACATCTGAGATCTACGCATCGATCGAGCGACAACGACGGCGGCGGCGACGGTGACGGCGACGACGACCACCACAACGACGGCGACGGCGACGGCGACGCTGGGGAAACCAAAAGGTACCGATACCTCTACTCCCCGGGACCTCTCCCAGGGTGCGTTCTGGCCAGGATGTCGGAGCGCTTTCAACGGTGGCCACGAGAGCCTCCGAGGAGGCCGGAAAAGACGAAAACTGGCAAAGGGTAGCGTTAGGTCAGGCATGTCCCTTGCACGCAGACTTTGGACGAAAGATAAACAGATCCCAAAACAATTCCAAACACATGCCAATACAGTCAACATATAGACGACAAATAATCCCCAGACTATTTTGTTTTACTATGTTTGAAAATTCCTCCTGTACAAGGGATAGGCCCCACTCAAGGGCAGCGGTATCGGTACCTCTTCTTTTCCTCTCGGGCGTTGGCAGAACTGGGTTTCAAAGGACATGATTTAGTGATTTGTACTGGGGGATGCCCCCGTCGCCAGTTCCACTAACCGGAACTGCCGTCACCCGAACAAACACCAGCTACGGCAAACCTGGTTCAGTGATCCTGGCCGCAATTTAGGGGCTCCAGGGCCCCACTACTAACCGGGTCCCCTCACCTGGGGTCCTGTCTTCCTCATCTGTACGCATCGATCGAGCGACGACGACGGCAGCGGCGACGGCGACGACGACGACCACCACGACGACGGCGACAACGACGGCGACCCTGGGGAAACCAAAAGGTTCTTAGAGCATTGTTTGGTAGGGCTATAGTCGGGTCGGGCGAAAGGGGGGGATAGCAAAGGGGGGGTTTGAGAATCAGCTCCTGTAGCTGATTTTCCCGGCGCCTCCCGGCGCCAGAGGCGGCTATGTATCAAGGAATGGGCCCCTCGGCGAAGCCGAAACCAGCTGCATGCAGCAAATTCCAAACTCCCCCCCCTTTCCCAATCCCCCCCTTTCGTCCGGCCCGATCTAGGCGAGCCAGGCGCTTCGCCACTGCCTGACCCCCGGAGACCCCGGCCGGAGCCTCTCGGGGATCTTCTGACCCGGGTCATTCCAGACCAGGGTCAGCGGGAAACCAAAAACTGCAACGCAGGAAAAAAACAAAAAAAACTGCAACGCAGGTCTTCGCAAACCCGGGTCAGCCAATAGGCGCGGCCGCCTCGCGGCCACGAGCGGCTCGCTGACCCAGGTCAGCCAGAGGGGGTTTTCGCAGGATCCTGCAGGATCCGGTGCCGTGGCCGACCCCCGTCTGCATTGACCCCCGTCTCGAGGCTCCCGAGCCTCGCCCTTCGTGCCCTTCTCGCCGGCGGCGGCCGGCAGCTGCAGGCACAGCCACTCCCGCCGCGTCGCCGACACCACGGAGGCGCGCGGGCCCTGGCCCTCGGCCGCGGCGGGGCTCGCCTCGGGCGCCGGCGGCGGCCGCGCGCGGGCGAGTGCTGCAGCTCGGCGGCAGGAGGAGGAGGAGGAGGAGGAGGAGGCGGAGGACTATCGAGGAGGAGGAGGAGGACTATCGAGGAGGAGGAGGCGGAGGAGGAGGAGGAGGACTATCGAGGAGAAGGAGGAGGAGGAGGAGGAGGAGGAGGACTATCGAGGAGGAGGAGGAGGACTATCGAGGAGGAGGAGGCGGACGAGGAGGAGGAGGAGGAGGAGGAGGAAGAGGAGGACTATCGAGGAGGAGGAGGAGGAGGAGGACTATCGAGGAGGAGGAGGAGGAAGACTATCGAGGAGGAGGAGGAGGAGCGCACCGCCTCAAGGGAGCCCGTCCGGGGGCCAGTGTCCGCTTCCCCTCATGGGGGCTATAACCAAACACTCAAGGAATCATACATCGCCCACAAGCTAGCCGGAGAGCGTCGCACGAGCACGAGCCGACCGTCTTGCGATCGCTCTGGCGCGAGCTCGGATCATGCTCTCGACTCCGTCGGGGCCTTGGCGATCCTGTATCCGGAGTGTGTTGTAAACAGAGAGAAGGATATCATGCATCAGGAGACAAGCGTGCAGCCCCTCCATCGTTAGAGAGCTAAGATCATGTACAAAAATGCGTCGCGAGAAGTCCCATTGAGGATAGCAACGGGGAAGGGGGCGGAACAGACGACACAAGAGGGAGACAACGAGGGGGCAACTAAAATAATGATCGATCCTGTCTCCCGCCTCCACGCCGCAGCCAAACCTGCACGGTCGTGTGCACATCCTGTACCTGCGTGTGGTCGGCCATCCATTGCACACAGACTTAAGGATGGCAGTGCAAACGAATGGCCCGAACTTCTGGGAGGCGAGTTTCATATTTAAAATTACACGTTCGGCAACAGGCATGGGGGCCCCAGGGAGAAAATAACGAATCCTAGGAAGCAGGAGACTGGCAGCGCTGGGGAGGTTCAGAAGTCGAGCAAGACATGTCGTAACCTTCGCCTGGACGTCGGGGATCTCCTCTTGGCCTAGCTCTGGGCTCATGCTGACGATGCTGTTGTAATGTTGGATCATGTTGTATGTGATACTCGATTCAAGCCAGTCTCGATGACGAGGGATTGCCAGAACATCAACATCATAATGCCGTATACGATGATAACGGGCCTGGGCGTCACCAAACCCACGACTGTTGGCAGCAGCGCGGAACATGGCAGCACGACAGCTCGGAGACAGGGCTCGGGGAACCACCCGAATACCCAAAGAGTCAATCTGCCGCAGAAGGTTAGAAGGTACAGCATGATAAGGGCCCGCTGTGAATCGTTGCAAACAGATGTGCTCGGCGTCGTGGATGCTCTTGGGGACGGGGTACAGTTGGCTGACATGAGAGAGCACAGGGAAAGCAAACACATGATATGCCTGTATATTCTGCGCCATGCTCAGCCGGAGGCTCCTTACATGCGAGGTCCTCTGGAGAAATTTTCGACGAGGGCCCGACCAAGATTTCTCCAATCCTCCAGGCCCAACATACACGCCCAAATACTTACCGCAACGTGAAACTGTCATGCTCCGAATTCGTAGGTGCAGTTTCCGGAAAGTTTTTACGATGTCCTGGGTGTCAATGTCTCTCACAAATACAACGCAACACTTCTGAAGGTTCAAGACAAGGCCAGATACGATTGCAGTCTGACAAAACCATAACAATACGACTGGCACCGAGACGAACAAAATTCCCTGAACATACGCCAACGTCGTCAGCAAATGCAAGAGAGCGACCCGGATGAACATCGATACGACGCTGGAGTCCTCGAAGGATGGGATCGAAGCAAAACAAACATAACAATCCAGATAATGGACAACCTTGCTTGACTCCGCGGGTGATCCAGTAGCCAGGGTGCCGTCCTCCACCGAACAGCACCTCTACGTAAATGTCCAAGTAAAGATTCTGCACGGCGCGAACGATGTACGCCGGAACGCCCATCCCCCTCAGCGAGTCGATCATCCAACGGTGTGAGATCGATGGGAAAGCAGCCTTCAGGTCCAGAAGAATAACCCCCGAATCCTTCATATCTCGGTGGCAGGCCCACTCCAACAACCAAGATTCAAGCTGTACGATGTTGTCCAGCATGTTGCGCCTCTTGATGAATCCGCGCTGCGTGTGCACAGTAGAATACTGCGCCTGCTTCATGAAAGGTACGGCTAAGCACGCGGACAGCACCTTGTTATCAGTGTTGGACAACGTGAGGGTCCTGGCCTGGGAGGGGGAAAGCACGCACTCAGGGCCAACGCTATCCACATCAATTTTGGGAGGGAAAACAACAATTCCATTGTTGAGTCCACGTGGCAACGAGGAGCCAGCCAGCATAGCGCAGTAAGCGCCGTAGAGGGCCCTGCGTGCAATCTCTCCTCCTAGGCGCCATCCACTGTACGGGACTCCGTCGGGTCCAGCAGCAGTGTCCTTCGACTTACTCCCTAGGACGCCGTAGAACTCATCCTCCGAGAGCGTCCAGAGAATACCGGGTGCCACGGACTGCACCTCTGCCATGAGTTCGTGCCAGACACTGCCGTAGAGAGGGTCCTGGGACGCATCATCGGCTGAGTGGACAGGCCCCCAGAATGCAGCCAGATTGCGAGCGCTCTCTTCGATGCTGATGGGCTGTTTGGTGGTGGGGTCCCCAACGCTATAAGTGGCAAGCTTGCGACGCTTAGGTGACCAGGACTTTAACAACGCATGCAGTCGAGAGCACGCTGGGTCGTCGTGCCGATGCAAAGAGGCGCACTTCTTCGGCAATGCGGACTGCGGGCTAATCTCCAAGAGCGCATCCATAAGCATATCGGAGCTCTTCTCAGCTAAGAAATTGTGAAATCCAACATAATCTACGAAAATATGCCGTGCATCGTCGTAAAACCAGCGGAGGTCTGGGACAGCATCGCAACATGCACGCGTAAAACTATGCTTCCCACACCTGTGCATACGCATGAGACGAAGACAAACTGCGATCACTTCCTTGTTCGTGCGAGCACCGTACAAGAACATGCGACGAGTGAGGGCGTCCTTCGCAGCGTACATCGCACCCTTGACATCGCGGAGGGCTTCGAGGGGGTCAGCGGGGAGGCCAACCTCCATCAAAATAGCATCCGTGATAGTCCCGAACTCGGGATGCTCCGTGACCCATCGCGGTAAAGACGGAGCTCGCACACCACCTGACGAGAGCTGCACGTATACTGGCACGTGGTCGGAGGGAGTCGAAAGATCATGAGCAACCCCAATGGTGCCAGAACCAGGAGGAGGAGGAGGAGGAGGAGGAGGAGGAGGAGGAGGAGCAGGAGGATAGCGGTTGCCACGTCTCCGGCCCTCGGGAGCCGTCTTGGGGGCGGCCTGAGGGCCTCGAGGGTCTCTTGGGGGCCTCTTGGGGGCCTCTTGGCGCCTCCTGCGGACATCTTGGGGCGGAAGGCTTGGATTTTCCGCTCGTGCTCCTTCGCTCGGGCCCCCCGTGGGCATGTCTTTGGGCCCTCACGGGCGCCTCTGGGGCCGTCTTGGAATCCTCTTGGGCCGTCTGGGGGCTCTCCTGGGAGCCTCTTGGGCCGTCTTCGGGTAGGTTTTGAGCGGGTGCTAGGCGGGGGCGGCGGCGGCGGCGGCTGCTGCGCCGGGCGCAAGGACGATGGCGGCGGTGGAGGCGACGAGGCTACCATGAAGATACAATAAACACTGATAGTAAGGATGCGCGGTAAGAATGCAAGGCCCCTTGGACGCCCACGTCAAAGCTTTTCGAGCGAGACTAACCATCGATAGTGGGTAAGGATGGACAGAAGAGGCACAGATGCAAGGGTCCCCTTGGGAAGGTGACCCATCCTCAGTACCTGCTTCGACTGTAGGGTTGTGTCGGGCACGTCCTCATAGAGGCGGATTCTGGAAGAACATGAAACGGATTCTGGAAGAACATGAAAAATAGTCAAACATATTCAAACAAAATCGGACTTAGCAGAAGAATCGTCCGCAGACTAGGTTTGGCTTGTTGTTGAATATTCCCACTGAAGAGGGACATGCCCGACTTCACTGTGGGGGGTCCTGAAGGCTTTGTTGTGTCGCTCTCGGGCTCCTGGGGCGCCCTGGGCAACAGGTCCCGGGAGAGGAAGGTCCCCCCAGAGCTCAGGGGCCGCTTCCACCAGGACCTGGGGCCTGGGATTAGGTCGGGCATGCCCCCCTACAGGCGGATTTTGGCAGAAAACTAGAAACACACATACAAGTGGCACGTGTGTGCCCAGGCTCATACAACAAAAACTGACAGGGCGTTTGAAGCAGGAAGACACCACGACTGCAGGATCGGAGATGGAGAAGGGGAAGCTGGGGCGGCGCCGCCAGGGCGTGCCTAAGAGAAGGGGAAGAGGCAGGAGGCGAACGCAGAAGAATCTAGGATCGAGGTCGCACTCGAGCGCAAGTGGGGTAGCCACACCTTGCGATGTGCGTACCAAGGCCCCCCAGGAAACCTCAGGAGGCCCGACTTGGATACCGGAAGAGGCTCCAGGAGGCCCCGGGATTGTGAGTGTTGTGTGTGTGTGATGTGTGCTCTGTGTTGTGCGTGTTTTCTGTGCGTTGTAGGTGTTGTGTGTGTTATGTTTGTCTAGTGTGTGATGTGTTGGGTGTGCTTTGTGTCTCTGTGTGTGCATGTAGTTCTGAGGCCCCAGGAGGCCCCAGGAGGCCCCAGGCGGCCTCAGGAGGCCCCAGAAGACCCCAGGAGGCTCCAGGAGGCCCCAAGAGGCTCCAGGAGGCCGCAGGAGGCCCCGCCCCAGGAGGTTCCAGGAGACCCCCAGGAGGCTCCGAGGCGGGGTCTGGGGTACCAGAAGGTACAGAAAGCCCCAGGAGGCCCCAGGAGGTTCCAGGAAGCTTCCAAGAGGCTCCGAGGCGGGGTCTGGGGTACCAGAAGGTACGTCGGGGCTCGATTTTGGGAGGATGTCTCAGGCGAAATCGCCATTCTCTGAGAATCGGGGTCAAAATCATT